TAGTGACGATGAAACATACAATTTTCCTCTAGTTCCTAAATGCTTCCCAACCATCATGATCCAAATTCTACCTTACAAATCTGGCTAGACCAGAAGATGTACACTGGTACAGATAGGAACTGGAAACACAGGGAATCCAAGACAGATAATCCCTTCAGGACCAGTGCTGAGAGTGGTGATACCAGGGGGTGGGGGTGGGGTGGAAAGGGCGAACTGACTACAAGGATCTACATATAACCTCCTCCCTGGAGGATGGACAACAGAAAAATGGGTGAAGGGAGACAGTGTAAGATATGACAAAATAATAATTTATAAATTATCAAGGGTCCATGAGGGATGAGGCAGTGGGGAGGGAGGGGAAAAAATGAGGAGTTGATACCAATGGCTCAAGTAGAAAGTAAATGTTTTGAGAATGATGATGGCAACAAATGCACAAATGTGCTTGATACAATGGATGTATGTATGGATTGTGATGAGTTGTACGAGCCCCCAATGAAATGATTTCTTTAAAAGGAAAGAACAAATACTTGCTATAACATGGATGACCCTTCAAAACACCATGCTAAGGGAAGAAGCCAGTCACAAATCTTGTATGATTCTCTTTATATATGTCCAGACTAGAAGGACCCCTGGTGGCATAGTGGTTATGTGTTGGGCTGCAAACCAAAAAGCCAGAAGTTCAAAACCACCAGCTGCTCTGAGGGAGAAAGACAAGGCTTTCTACTCCATTATAGTTACACTCTTGGAAACCCACAGGGGCAGTTTTACCCTGTCCTGTAGGGTCACTGTCAATCAGATTTTTTTTTGGGGTGGGGGATGGGGGTGGGGTCCAGAATAGGCAATTTGTAAAGGCAAAACAATAGAATGTTTGCTTCAAGTGAATAGATAGCAGGAGATGGGCAGTTTCTTTTAAAAGCAATAATGTTCTAAACTTAAATTTTTGGTGATGATTGCAAGTCTGGATATACTGAAGCCATTGAATTATATGCTTTAAATGGGCGAAGTTAATGGCGTGTGATTATATCTCAAAGATGTTTAAGAAATAGATAAGGCTCTGAAATAGGGCTGAGGCAGAGAAAATGGGAATGAAGGGGCAAACTTGGAAGAAGTAGAAAGGAAAGGTGGAGCGGACACGTGGAATGATCAAGTGCTTGCATGGGGAGAAAAGGGAGTGGCTATTCCCACACAGACTTGCAGAGCTACACTGTTTAATTCTTTCCACTCCAAGGGAAGCAAGCCTGGGTCTAGGGGGCTGGCAAGCAGGATACTGACCGTTTGTGGAAACTACACTCTCAGACGTCAACAGGAACCTCGGGCATTTTGGTTGCCTTGATGTGGGAACATGTGGTCACTGAGCCACACTACCGTCGGCCATCTGGTGAGTCCAAGGCTGGCATACATTCCAGAGTCCAGGAGAGCGCTTGCCCCAGGTGGACTGAGCTGTAGTGTTAATCCTCATCATGGGAACAAGCCAAGATCCTGACTCCTCCTCTTCCCAGTTCTAAGGACCATGAAATTGAGCAGTCTGCACAAAGTCAACCGGATGCGCAGGCTGGAGTAAAGCATTACCAGCACAGCCGCTGCAGCCCGATGTGATGCAAGCTGCTGAGCTGTGTCCTTGTCTTGATCAGACACTGATCCTCAGGTTCAAGCAGCTCAGTAGCTCCTAAGAATGTAAATTCTTGCTGCGTGTCTCTGCCACTGCGCTGAGCTCCAGTGAAGGACCACCGACTTGTTCAACTTAGTATCTCCAACGCACTGCACACGGTTGGTAGCTAGAGAATATTTGTTAGTTGAAGAGGTGAAGCAACAGACAAAGTGTTGTGAGGGACATAAACATGCCCAAATCCCTGAGTTCCAACAGAGCCACAAGCTGAGTGTGAGGTTTATCCTGCACACAAAATGCACGAAGCTTGAGGAATTGGAAAACAAACTCCATCCCGGTCAAGACACAAAACCTGTATGTGGCGTGTTCCTCAAGCTTCCAGTCCAAGAAGCCACGCCTTGTGTGATGCACATTTCCTTACATCTCTAGATGGTTTTAGTTCCTATATATGTACAAATGTCTAACCAACATGACTTAGGCTTGCTGGTCTTTGAACTGTATAGTGGAATTGCATATTGCTTTTTTCTCTAACTTTTGAGATGAGTTCATTCATAGATATTGACTCATTACTATTGCCCTTTTGAGTTTCTGACGCTGTAAGTCTTGACTGGAGCGGAAAGCTCCAGCCTGCTCTGTTGGGGTGGCTGGTGGATTCACACTGCTGAGCTTCAGGCCAGCCGTTCAACACGGCATTCACTATCCCACCAGAGTCCCTTCCTGCGACTGGGGTATGCATGCCATTTTATGACTAGTATAGTAACAAATACTAAAGTGGTTGTATGTAATTAACAGAAATGTTATTTTCTGTTTGAGGCCAGAAGCCCAGCTCCTAAAGGAAGCCTCTTTGTTTTCTCTGAAGGTAGTAACTAGGCTGTAATATGGCGTCATCTTTCCCTCTATGCTCGCTAGCTTAGTTATCTCAAAATTTATCTTAGTTAAACCTAGTATGTTTAGTGTCAGTTAAAATATACCCTATACTAACTCATTAACATAAAAACTTTGCTCCCAAATGGAATTATAACCATAGGTTATAGATATAAAACACATCTTTGTTATTGTTACAGGGGGTTCCATTCAATCTGTTACCAAGACTATGCGCCTCAATTTATTTTCCACCAACTGCTGGTGGAGTGGACATTCTGCGCTTTTCCAGTTGGGCATAAAAAGCAATGCTTCTATAAACACTGTTATTATTTTGGGAGGCACTTATGTGTGTAAGATTCATTTCAAAATTCATTTTATTCTGGAACCAGTGACGAGCCAGCCTAAGGGTTTGAAAAACTAGCTTGCACAAAGAAGATTCAGGTAGGTAGACCAGTTGATGAAAGCATCCAGTGCTTCTCAAAATGTGGACCAGGATGAGCTCCATCAGAATCACCTGGGGAAGCGGTGAGTTTCCCAGGTCCAGCCAATTCACCAACCTCCGAAGATGAGTGCTAGATAGCTGTTTGAATCAGCTCCCCCACCTTCTGTGGCTCACCAGGCCCCACCTTCTGTAGATGCTGCATGCAGACCAGGGATCAGTGCCGTTAGAGAACTTTGAGAAGAGGGAAGAGACAGGGCCTTCATCGCCAGACATCAGCCTCCTTTCCTAGTTCCTTGGTGGCTCCTTACTTTGATGTGTCTTATAAGAGTGTGCAACACAAATGAAGTTTTCTTCTTCTTGTATTAAAATGACCGTCTCAAACATCTCCTAAGACTAAACCTGTCTTGTTCCTTCTTAAATACAGATAAATGCAGAGGGAACACCAGAGGAAGTTTTTCTTCAAGTCTGCACAGCAATTGACTCTATTTTCTGAAAGCAAAAATGCATGTATGATTAAGAAGAACGGAGACAGAAAAATTATTAAAGGTTCATCTCTTCACGCAATGTTTCAACTACTTCTTCTGCCCTCTCAAATCCTAACATCGCCGTTTGCTTCCCAGCTTGAACCGAGAGGTGTCTGTAATGCATGCATGGTGTGTTTGCTATTATCAGCGCTTTTCTTTCAGACAGCTGTCTGCACTCAGAGCACGCTCAGTGTTCTATCATGCAGTTCGCGGTCAGAGCTCAGTGGCAGTGAACAGCAGTGTGGTGCCAGTCTGTGTCAGAACCTGCTGGAGTGACTTTCTGGTTGTACTCTCATCAAGGTTAGCAGCCCAGAGCTTCACATTTTCCATCGTCTCCCCAGGGTTTTCAGGGTATTCTCGGATGGTACAGGGAAAAGGGGACAGCCAGGCACGGGCGTCTTCCGCCACTGGCTGTCTGCTCCTCAGCTCTCATCCTCTCCTGGCTCAGAGTAGGGGAAGGTGGGTGAGTACTCCTTATGGATGCATCGAGCAAGCAAGGTTTGATAAGGGGGGAAAATGAAGCTGTCTACCTCTTTCAAGACAGCAACAGTCAGGCTAGGATTCATTCTGAAGAGACTGGCTACTTGGAATAATGTCATAATGACTAAGAGAACAAATTGTATAACCTAGTATCTTCTATATATGGCGATGCATTTCAGAAATTATAAATGAATACAAATGGCAAAAAATAATTTAAAGGCATGAAATGATTCATTTATTAGACAAGTTTCAAATTATAGTTTCCATTTTAAATGATCACTGTATTGTCTTTTACAGCTTTCATCTACTTATCATTGTCAAACAAGGTAAAAATACGTGGTAATAACAAAGTGAGGTGTGTGAGAGCGGGCAGCCAGTAAGTCACCTTCAGCAGATTCAGATGTTGTATTTGCTTCAAATGAATCTTCCCAAATCGTTGTAAACTTTCATCATATCCATATGTAAACCTCTATTTCTTTGCATCAAGCCAGTGAAGTGTGGGTTTTCTTTTGTGCTATCAGTTGGCAAATTAGAGCTTATGATACTAATGGCGGGACTGTTCTACTCAGTCACTACAAAGGGCCATACTGTCAGTTTGCATGATTTTTTTTTTAAATGATTGTGCAGATAAGAACCCATTTCTGGGACAGAACTGTATTTTTAAAGTCATTTTCTTGAAATGGATATGTACAAATAAAATAAATGGAATATAGGATAACTTCTTTCCCATTTATTTCTACTTCACTTTACTCTGGAAAGCATTTGAAGCCTTATGGCAAAAAGAAACTGAGGCAAACAGTATTAGTTGAGAGTTACAATACGTCATTGTAGTTTTAATTTTGGCTGTAGAGCAATTTTGAGCGAATACACTGAGAACTTTTCAATGTATTTTGAATTCATGGTAATTGTCATATTCCTTTTCAATAACAACTGGGGGCTGTTAACATTGTTAGTTACCCCTGTTAACAAAAAGGGGCACTCTACTACAAGTCACTCAGCTGTCAAATCGTTTCTTTACTATCCCAAGTTGTTCCTCTATAGGGGAGTAGAAGTATTTGAGCCAGATTTAAAAAGAGTGTCTTCATTATAGTGCTGCTGTAACAAAAATACAAGGGAATGGCTTAAACAAATTTATCTTTTCAGTGTGAGGGGATTGGTGTCTAAATTCAGGGTGAGTTCTGTGTGTGTGTTTCCTGGAAGAAGGGTCGTGTATTTTCTGAGCCTCTGGATGATCTTCACGTGACTTGGCACTGCTCTTCTATTGCTTTCTATCTGTCTTATATTGAACTCTTTTATATACATAAAGAGATTAATTTAAAACCCAGCCTTAGGAATCTTGCCTCATTAAAAAGAAAACCCATTCCCATCTTAGATTATAACCACAGACCTGGAGATATAATTAATACCTATTTTAAGGACACAATTCAACCTATAATATCCCACTCTTTGTCCCTAAGGATGCAAACTACATGCAAGACACCTTCACCCCCTCACATCATCTCAAACGTTTGAACATCAATTCCAAGCCCAAATCTGCTCTTCTGAATCATCTGTATCAAATATGGGTGAGACTTTGGGAATATTCTATCTTGAGGTAAATCCCTCATCTGTGAACCTGGAAAATCTACACTACATGTTGTTTCCAAAGTACAGTGCTGGACTAGGCACAGGATACATATTTCTGTTACAAATAGGAGAAACTGGAGGGAAAGAAAGGAAAATGTGTACCAAGCAAGTACAAGGTTCTCAAAGCTTAAAGATAATTTCTGTTCTTTGAGACTGACTAGGCAATGACCCTGCCCCTCAGACTCTGGATGTTGGCCATGCCCTCTGGGATCCGAGGGGAGGCCCTATGGTCCTGGGCTTCACAGCATTGGTGGCTTCATTCTCTTAGTCCGCCTGAGTGTCAGCTCACCCCTCAGCCCCGAAAGAGCCCACCTTCTTAGTCAAATTGAACTGCAGCCGCAATCTCTAAGTTGGTGAAGACAGACGTAGAAGCCAGTGGCTCCACCTTTTAAGCTCTATTTTTTTTACTTTGTGTAGTTCTGCTGACCTCTGAGCTGCTTCACAAATGGTCCTTTTTTCTTGGAGGACAACAGGTGTTGCTCCTCTGGCCTTCTTCCTGCCTGTAGATTCCAAGAGGCAGACTGTCTTCTTGCCACTTCCCTATAAGCTAAATCGGTTGAGTGCTATGTTCTTTGGTTAGATCCCTCGGTCATAGGCTTAATCTCTTTATGATTGGGTAGCCACTTCCTTGGTGAACCAGAATTCTAGGACAGGTGTTCATAATTTGTACTAGAGAACTTTACATATCTTCAGGTTTTGTTTCCATTTTGCATAGTTCATTTTTAAGTCCATTTTACTTCCTTCTCTCATTTTACTATGAATGGCGAGGAGTAACCATGTAGCCTCTTTAAGATCTTGCTTAGAAATCTCAGCCCAAATATCCAAGTTCTTCACTTACAAGTTCTACCTTCCACCCAACATTTAAGCGCAATTCAGACAAGTTCTCTGCTTCTGCATAAAAAAAGTATCATCCCATAACTCCACGGTCCAATCGGTTCATTTTTTTTCTTTGAAAGTCTCAGAAGCACATTTAAATCTACTTTTCTAGCAACATACTGTTGTTGGAACTTTGTGTATGTAATGTTCCCTAAAGCGATGAGCCTTTCTCTACAGTTAGCTCTTCTTCTGAGCCCTCACCAGAATTTCCTTCAATATCCATAATTCTACCAACAGTTTCTTCAAGGCAATCTAGGCTTCTACTATTAGATACTTTTAAAATCTTCCAACCTCTACCCATCACCCAAATCCAGAACTGCTCTCACATTTTAGGTATCTGCTAGAACAAGTCAGCAGTTCACACCCACACGGTATCCCACTAATGGTGTGGCAGTCTGTTTTTGTGATGATTTACAGCCTTGGGACCCTGTGGAGCAGTTCTATTCCGTCTTAAAAGGTTGCTACGAATCAGCATCAATGTGATGACTGCATTTGGGTTAGAGTAGTGCCCACTCTTGGTATCAAATGCTTAGTTATCTAGTGGTGCTACAAGTGGGTGGTTTTCACCAGCAGAAATTCATTTTCTGACAATTTTGAGCAGCCGTTTTCAACCTGTGGGTCGCGTGACTCCTTTGGGAGCCGAACGACCCTTTCACAGGGGTCGCCAGATTCATCACAGTAGCAAAATTACAGTGATGAAGTAGCAACAAACATAATGTTATGGTTGGGGGTCACCACAACATGAAGAACTGTATTAAAGAGTGGCGGCATTAGGAAGGTTGAGAACCACTGATTTAGAGGCTAAATGTATGCGTTTAGGCATCAGCTCTAAGAGAAGACTTAACTGGATCAGCAGGATGGGCCTTTTGCGCGCGTTGCATCTCTCTGGTCTCAGCTCTGCTTGCTGTCTTGCTTAATTTCTTTTATATCCCAAGAGATTGACAGTCAAGACACCACACCATACAACACTTCATTAACATAACAAAGCCAGCCCATTCCCAAATGGGCTTAAAGCCACGGGCTCAGAGTTCAGGATTTACAACACATTTGGGGACAACACAATTCAAACCCCAACGGAGGATTACAGGATGAAAATTATCAATTGATGTGCCAGAAAACATAAGGTTCTTCAAACATATATCTCATATTGGCAAACACCATCTATGCCTTATCTATGCCTTCACTGCTCTGACAGCATGTGAAATGAAATGACAGCATGTGAAGGGAAATGAGACAGTAGGTGATAGTTCAGCTAAGGCTTTTAAGGCTCTAGTGGACAGTCCTCTTGAAAAATCCGCAGGAACAAATTGCTTTGCTCCTAAAGAGCATAGGTGCAAGTCTTATACACAACTGCTAAAATACGTTTCTGATTTGAATGGTTTCAAATGAAGTCACTAAAGTCAAAAGATTTTAAAACAGAGAAAGACTGTAGCCTCACAAGTATGGAAAGGCCACTAAAGCACAAGCGAAACTCCTTGGAAATGACCTACATTCAGTCAACACCCTCCCTCTTCTGGTCCTGTATGTCACCTCCGACCCTATCAACTATCATTGTCCTCTTGCTCATTTAGTCCAGTCTACACTGGTCAACTTCATGTTTCCTGAACAAGTCAACCTCTTTGCCAGCTAAGCTTTCTACAGATTATCTTTAACCCCACACAGGACTAAATTCAACTTTACCCCTTGTCATCAAGGCTTACTTTGGTTCTTCCATCTAAAATGGCAAACTGTTGAATATCTTTCGACCACTTATTATTCCCTTATTAGCAGTATTTTTCTCCATGGCAGGTATCCCTGTCCAAAATTACCATTTACACTTGTGTACAAGCCAAGTTCTTCAGCACATTTTTAATGCAGTTTTTGTGGTAAATTAGGTGCCTCGGCAGGCACCTAATATTCGGGTCGGCTTATACTCGAGTATATATGGTATGTAACACTTTCATGTATGTGTGTGTCCTTCTGCGTTAGACTACAAGGCTCCATAAAAGTAACAGCTTTATCCCCAGACCCACACAATCATTACATAAGGTAACCTATTTTAACATCTCTGTACCTCCGTTTTTTTCATCTACACAATGGATATCGAAGCAGTAACCAACTATTAGAAGAGTCTTAGAAATTATAGTAATACATGTAAATTATCTACGAGTAGTTCCTAGTGTTCAATGAAAGTCCATTCTCTGTTAATATTCATTGTTTCATCTCCACAATTGGGGCCAGGACACACATTTTTCAACCCCGTGCCTTCCTGTTATACTACATGACAGGAGTGAAGACACACAGCCTAAGCTGGGTGCCAGAGAAGCCAAACCTTAGCAAGTCACGAGTTGAATCACATCTTCTCAATGAGAAAGGACACAATTCCTCAGTCTTTCCACAGCTCTGAAGTCTCCCGAAGCACGTCCTCTAGGGGCCCACAATTATACTCTGACATGCTGAGCATAGGTGAGGTCCCTTAACTACCTAGAGAAACCAATGACTGTAATCCATCAAAACACTGATTATATAAAACAATAGCTACTTACTGCGACCAGGTGCCCTGGTGGCATAATGGTTATGACTGGGCTGCAATCCACAAAGTTAACAGTTTGAAACCACCAGCCACTCCCAGGGAGAAAAACTGGGCTTTCTACTCCTGTAAAGCATCATAGTCTCAGACGCCCCTAGGGTCTATAGATAGGGTAGATTCACTATAAATCAGCATCCACCCAATGGCAGAGAGTTTTTGTTTACCAAAAATCTACTAAAAGGCAGGCCCCTGAATAATCTGTGCCATCATGGAGCTAAATGCGACACAATGAAAAGTTCATTTAATCAGCTAAACAAGCAATGTGTGTGGGGTGGAGAGCGGCCAGGTGTTGGCTCTATTCATTTTCTAGGGTCATATAATATTTTTACCATGACAAGAAATAAAAGTCAATGCACCCTAAAGAAAGCAACACACTCATACTCTCTTATAGGATTAAGTCCTGCCTTCTTTTCCCCAACATCCCATCATCTTATGGAAAAGCATGCTTACAGCCTGGAGATTCCCAATTGCACTCAATGCATCTACAACAGTGGCCATCAAACTCTGCTATCTACAATATAAAATCCAGTTCGTAGCACACCACACTTACATTTCTAACTGAAAAAAAAATTACAAACATCTTTTATGTGGATAGACTGTTTTTTCATGTTTAACAAAAACAGATCCCTTAGAGCTCAGTAAATTAT